TAATTCAGGGAGTGAAAAGCAGTCTGAACCTCACATAATACTTAACCATCTGGTGTCTCGATCAGCAGTATAAAACCAAAGATGAATGAGGAAAAAGAGCCACTTAATTACTTGATAACTGAAATAACAAATATAGCCATGTCTTTGTACAAAACCGAAGTATCTTCTTCCTACAGTGCAAGTACAATGTCTTCCTAAGAGTAGCCAAAATAATTGACAGCTTGTCAATTTATTAGTAGTTATGATGTCTACATATTGAGTACACACTGTGTCCTGTACCTTTGCCTAATTATATATGAAGTGTAGAATTATATATGAAGTTTGCCTTTTTGTGAAGATATATTTTACAAGCTTTAAAGTATTTTAATTATGCAAGACAGTTCTTCAATTATACATATTTCTGTTACATTTCTTGCAAGATTTACAATTTTATAATATGCTTCAACTAAACACAGCTTCACTCCTCATCTCCATAGTCTACTTTTGCAAATTAATGGCTTTATCACACAAAAGATTAAGAAATAATTTAGATAAAAATCTTAGCAAACCTCTTTCAAAAGAGAATAATGAAAGCCACATTATACTTACTTTGGAAAAGCAATTTTTCCAGAAACTCTCAAGTCAGCAGAACAATTTTCTTGGGAGCAAAATCTTGCAAAAACAAACTATAAAAGACAAATAAAAAAAGGACACTTTAGTGTGTTATATGTATTATAGTGAGTAAAAGTATGTCTAAAGAAAGAAACCTATCACCTTGTTACCAAGTACATGGAACTGGCTAATAGCTCTTGCTCCTAAAACCAATTCAATCAGGCTATGATTTGCCTTTTACCAAACACATGCCGTGTCTCTCGGTTAAACCAGTGGGTGTATGTTCAGCTGATTTTTCAAACGTAGTACTTAAAAAGGGCAGAGCATTTTAGAAAATCCAGAATTGAGGTCTCTGCAGTCTCTTATATGACACAGCACATTAACTTCTGCAGAAGAGTTCCATTACACGAACATTACTTATCATACTGCAAAAAAGGTTTGATGAAACTGGAGACACTGTGACTCACATGTCTGTGCCTTGGTTATCAGTATGCTACAGAGCATCTTTATGTCACTATATTCAACAACACCCTCTTTCTCTCTAACTGTGAGGTTTCTCAAACAAAATTTTGAATGAAAAGGAGAAAAAGAACGGAGCTTTTATATACCTCAGAGTTCTGATAGTCCACTGTATCCTGAATTACATGAAGCTCAGTGTTTGTGAAAAGTCATAAATCTATGACCATTTCGCAGTTAAAAATTCAGAGCATCTTGCCTTTCTCTTAAGTTTATTAACTAAGTTGTTTTGGGTGGGTTTGGTTTTTCATGGGTGTTTTTTTTTGTTGTTGTTGTTGTTGTTTGGTTGTTTTTCTTCTTATTTTTTTCTTTGGGTTTTTTTTGTGTGGCGTTTTTTTTTTGTGGTTTAGTTTTTTGGGGTTTTTTTTGTTTGTTTGTTTGTTTTTTTTTGAGAAAGCTATTCTCATACTCATTTAAGGATACAGAATACACTTTCTTCCCCCCACAGACTTTGTGCTGGAAAACCTGCAACACCTTTACAGAACTAATATTTCAGCAACATCATGAGAACACTTCAAGATTAATACCAGCAAGATTAATACTAACACAATTAATTTTAAAGATTCTTTTTATACTGGAAAGTAACTCATCCTATGTACTTGAAAAAGAACTGATATTTCAACGACTGAATTTCATACCTGTGTCTTCCAAGGTATGTAATATTATATATTCTTGCAAGTTCTCACACATTACTTTTTTAAAAAAAAAAACATAACACAAATTATATACCAGTTCTACAAAGGTATTTTTTTCTTAATGACAAATTAGGCATTTTTTTGCATACTGGTTTAATAATTAAGATCAAGGCACTAGATGCTGGTCTGGAAAATGCATTCCTTCACATGCTATGGATGTGTGAAGGTTTGTTTTTTTTTAACTGAAGATTAAATCACGAGTATTTACTTGCTACATTGGAAAAAAGGAAAACTCATACACTAACCTTGCTTTTTATAACATCTTTTTCTTTCCTCTGTTGAAGAACAGGTTGAAGTAGTGAAAATTCTTGATCATTTCTCTTCTGTAGAATACGATGCCCCAGCTGATAACTTGCTTCAACATGTACAGGAGTCAAGATATCCCTTACATCTTTCTATGAAAATTGGAAACCTGATGAGTTAATCATATAAAACAAGACATGTGTGCTTATGTTTTAAGGATTAAAAGGTTCCCTAGAACTAACTTAAACAGGAACACTTATTTTTTTTACATGTAAAATAATTTCATATGCCATATGGCTTACCTACTTTTCCAGAAATCTTTGTCGCTGAAAGAGGTAATGAGAAACACAGAAAAGCATAAGCGATCAAAGACAGCATCTGGCATTTCAGAATGGAAGATTCTTTTATTAAAAGAAGTCTTATTCAATTAGTGGACCTATTTCTGTTAATAATACTGCCTTACCCATGAAACGCTGTACTGCCCAAATAGCAAAATAGGAAAAAGGTGGCTGAAATTGAGAAAGTTAACCTTTGAGTAATGCCAGACAAAACCAAGGGATTTTTCTGTATGAAATCAAAAGGCGTTCTCTCACAGTACCATTAAATCAGGTCATGACTGCATTTTATTTTTCTGCGCCTTTATGTCCTATTCTGTATTAAAAAGATTCAACCCCTCAATAAATGACCATTTTGTACACGAAGGCTTGACTGTGTAGGAATGTTGCAGATCAGAGCTCAAACTGCCTACTTGTGAAAACTGAACAGCTTGAAGCACCAAGTACTAACAATAGCAACCCTGATTAAATTAGTCCCTAAGTGTAGGAGACAGACAGACACTGATTGTCCCTCCACATGGCCACTACTTTAATTCTTATCTGCAAGCCTGCTTTGGCCAAATCACATATCCATAATAATTTTCCACAAGGTCTTCTCTGCATCTGCTTTATATTACTGCCATTACGCTAATTAGCTATTAATTAGTCTTTACTCGAAATACATAAAACGTACTTCATCTCTTGCAAGGACTGTACTTGACAGACATTCACACTTACTTAACTTTGGGAGCTTCATACAACTACAGAAACCTCAATGGGTGAAAAGAGATGCTTATAATGCTATTAATTAAGAATTAAAAAGGAAATTGAATTATATGGAGGAAAAAATAGACTACAGGAAGTGATAAGCCAAATCTTATCCTTCCTCCTACACAAATACCTACTGATGCTGGTACAGCAATCTGTATAAGGTCTGCTGTCAGTCAAATCTCTCTTGGCTTATAAAACTCTTAAAAGTAAGTGGTAATTTGCTATTGCTCCTGAAAGTAACATTCACTTAGGAGCAACGACCAGTTGAGATGCATCTGGGCTATTTTCCAGTGGATAACATAAGCTTCTACCCTGAAGCTTTGTCATGAAGAATTTGCTTCTAATGGCATCATAAACAAAAAGCAAGTAAAAGGAAAGAAGAAGAAAAATACATGGAAGACTTTTTCCCTGTGTTTTTTTGGTTTTTTTTTTTTTTTTTTGGTAGCTGTAGAGAATTGAGTCTATTTCCCAGCCCCTGTGCAGGATCAACCACACCAATCATCTTAATACATGTTTGTTTCAAAAGGTCACGGAATTGCTACCTCAAGGATTTTAAAGAAAAGGCTAGGCAAACTAGTTCATTATTTTACTTCCCTTGTTTCCCCTTACATCTAAATATTTCCTGGCCTTAGTATTTCTTTCAAGAATTCTTTTCCCCCTTAGCTAAGGTCTTACAGGTGGTAAGTCTGTTTTTTCTGAGTGTAAAAAAAAAAAAAATGTGGTTCCTCTGTGTCCACTAGTTTTTAGTGTTTGATTATGGTTTAGGATTTCAAGTTCTTCGCATTTATTCTCCAAAATTTTTGTTGCAATTAGCAAGCTTCTAAGATAGACTGAATCACTATTATTCTTTCTTGTCCAGTGAATGGCCTTAAATATCTTTGTCCTGGTTGCAGTTGTTCTTACACTGAAGACTGGTCCCTCATTCAGAAGGATATATCAAGTGTGAACATGATGGTTCATTTCCTCCAGGGCAACAGTGACTTTGAGACTACTATTGCAGTTAGGATCTTACTGACTAGATTCTTAACTAGCTCCAAGTCAGTACCATCCTCAGTTTCAAAGGACAGTTGCTGTTCTATCAGACTCTACTTCTGGCAAAACCAACAGCCAACTTCCTCCTGCTGAGTAGCTGGTACTATCTCTATTATTCGATGCTGGTAAAGGCTTCTCTGGGTATCTGACACCTTGCAGCTCTCCAAGAGCCTCCTGCCAAATGCCCGCTTGCCCTGGCAGCACTTCCACCTCTGTGGCTTCTCCTCTGAAGCATTTCTACCAGCAGACTCCTTCTACAACAAAGTTGTCTCTACCCCTTCACGGAGAGAGTAACCACTGTCACTACTAATCCGGTCCAGATTTCAGGCTGGTATGTCCAGGAGAAAGATATATCTGTACAGGCTTCCCTTTTGTGGGCAGAGGAATAGAGAAATCACTTTTTCAGCACAGTGCACATTCTTCATATTGTTCGGCTCTTAAGTTCATTCATGAAACTCTCGTGAGGGCTCTTCCTACCGTTTCCAGCTGTTGATTCTCTGAGTATTTTCTTTGGTGAATGCTGCATCCCTTGCAGGAGGAAAATCAAACTATTCCAAGCAAGTGTGTTCTTCACACCCTGATAAGCCTGTGCTACAAAAAATGCACGAGCCAGACCACACTAAAAACCTCTAACTACAGACTTGCTTACCAATCATCTTCATTTCACTTCCTATGGATCAGGAATAGGTTCCTTCCTTATCAGGTGAGTCTACCTTACCTTCTCACAGTAAAAAGAGGAGCAAAACCATACATATACTCTTTGAAATAGCTAAAAATGACAAAACATAATAAACATTTTCTCTGTGTAACTACAAGTTCCAAGATTTTGCATTAACGAGTGCACAGGAAAGTTCCATCAAAATTGTTCAGCAGAAAAATATGTTATACCCTATCAATTTATGATCTGTCATCCATAAAAAGGGTGAAAAAATGTCAAAAATGCTCATGTCCTAATTCATCACTGTGATGATGATTATGCATATTCTCACTGACATAAATGATGGCAGACTGAGTTCCCCACAGAAAGCTGAAAAAGCTTCATAATTAAAATATATTATCTGTGGAATTTATGAATACAAATATTTTACTTCCAAAATGATGTGATGCAGTTGTAAATATAATCAGGTCTTTTGCAGCAGGTATGCTTTTCAAAGGAGAACAAAGGATTTACAAGGCAATACATACTCAAAATTACATTACCCTCATGAATGCTGGATGATCTTTGCAGGCAGTATTCTTGCTGTAAATCTTTACATTTCCTGAGATTGTATCAGATGTTCCATTAGAGGAAAAATAAAATCTTGCTTGTGTATCTACTCTTCTGTTCACATCAACACTCAGATTATAAAGCAGTACTGCAAAATAAATTCCAGGGAAAATGTGAAGCCGTTAAGTGTTATAATTTTCATGAATTTATGATAGAAATCACATCTTCTGACTCACTTCCTTAAGTTATGTTCTGTAATATGAAATGCTCTGCTTAAAAATTCCCTGACATAAATCCATACTAATGAACACTTCTAGCCCTCTAAAAGTTGATTGCATCATGGCTGATCCCTGAAACATGCTTTGACATCAGTGTTAGATTTGTCAAATTATATTTATAGCTTTCTACCAGAATCTATTTAAAGAAAACCTGCTTCAGTTACTTACAGGGCTGACAGTAAATTTCGACAAACAGATTAAGTTAACAGACACTGACAAGTATTGTTTAACTTCACAGTTCTGTTCAAGTTAATGTGAATTGCTGTGATAATAAATTGCAGGCAAGTTTCAGAGCATTACTGATCTATTACTTCTTAATCTCTGCCAAAAGCAGAGTTAGGGTATCTAGAATTTCTTCTAGTCTTTTCTCTTCTGGTTCAGTCTTACGTCCAAATCCAGCAAGGGCAATCCAGTCTGACTGCTCACTTTTCACAACGCATATGAATTTTAAAAGATCTGAACTTGAAACTTTGCAGTTCATTCTTTGATGTGTTCTCTGTAATGTATTCCTAAAGGATACTGTATACTCTCATACAGAAGATTTCAGCAACTTAATTTTATATACCATGTATTTGCAGAACTGTTTGCATCTTGCAAACAGCTTATGTGACAAGCAGATTAAAAGCACCCATGCAATACAGTCAAATTTAGACAGTATGTTATTTTAAATAAGTTCAGCATGAATATGCCCTCTAACAGATATTGCTTCAAGCACTGCCAGTTTGTGCCAAAAGCAAAAGATGCATTATATAAAATACCAGATATATTTTTCAGGAATTATGGTGGAACTCCCTCTTTTACATATTGTTCCATAATGGTACAATTAGGCACTTGAGATGCTTTATGAAGAGAATGTCTTTTCTCTGTTACTAAGTGGAAGACTGCATCCTACAGTGGTCCATACGGTTTGGTCCATGTCTGGGAGGACTGCTTTTAGAGGACATTGGAATATCATGCGGAATAATCCATTTGATTCTACATTAAGACATTCACTCACCATTAATTCCCTGCCTAACTGCAAAGCAACGGCCCACACATTTGCATGTGGAAAGTTCAGAAAAACACTCCTGTTGGGCCCTGTGCAAGGTAAGAATACAGTCCCTGGGCAACTATGTAAAAGAAAGTGTTCACAGACTAAGTGTGCTCTTATTCTTTGTGAAACCTAACGGCTTACCATCTCATTCAAAAACCTGTCAAAATGATGGTTCTAGTTATTATGGTGCTATGAAAGAGATCATCTGAAATGGCATCATTACAGTGTAATTCAGAAGCGTAAGTGTAAATGCAATCACACCACTTGTTAGGTAAGTTACAGGGTACTGGAACTGTAATTCAGGTACTGGAATTAACCTATCTATGATGGTACTGCTTTAGCAGTGCTGCAAAAACCGTGTGAAAATATTACTGAATGGTTGTGCACAGCCCCAGCTGAACTCTCTAGTGTCACAGTGCAGCTAGCTAGCTAAAAATTAGTCTTTGTTTGTCTAAACTGGTAGCCATCAAAATTTTAGATTAAATCATTGTTGTGATAGACAACTTGGGAGTTCCACCTTCATCCTCGCCTTTGTAACTCTCTTTATAACATCTCACCTTTATAACTTCACTAATTAATGGTCCACTATATACCAATACCATTATTCCTAAATGGGTTAATTTAAATTGAACACATATTCTGGATTTTTTTTCCAGGTAGTTTACCAATATATCCAGGTACTTCTCGTCCTGTATAGGTAAAGCATATCTTCAAATTCATACAGACTGAAGGCTGGTCATTTTCCATGCAGTTTAAATTAGTTCGATTTATTGAATCAGGATGTTTTAAAGAAGCTTCAACAATTACCACTGGTTTTGTTCTAAAAATAGAAAAGAGTTAATGTTCACAAAACACTTCAGAAATAGCCTACAGAATCTCTGCAGAATCTAACAATCTCTGGAAAAATCTATTGTATTTTACAATTTTTTAAGCTATCTGCATTTTTCAGATAGCTTCAAACAGCTGTGTGCATATTATTTGCTGGCTCAAGAAGTTTCAAAATTAGATTTTCTTTTTCCCCAGGGTTTACTTAAACGTAAACCCCAGCAGTTGAGGATTCCACAGACTAATGCCTGAAGTTCAAGACGCCAAGAAGCGTATCAAGAGGTTAAAATATACCAGTGAGTTTTATCAAATTACTTTTAAAAATCAGTTAAATTGTATAATCTTTAGAAGCATGGAAATTTAGCAATCTCACCTCAGCACCACAGCAGAATCTGAGAGAAATGCACCAATTGCTACATCTGTACACAAAAAACAGATCAATAAGCATAAGTTATCAACATGAATTACTTCTCAGTTACAAGCATTTTGGAACATATTCACCCTTTGGTCAGCATTAAAGCACCATTTGTCCTTTATGTATTAGAAAGCATGTGGTAATATTCAAAGGTGTTCTCTGTCTAGAACATAATTCCTCAAATAATTGTCCACTGTTTATCAATGCTATGTGCTAATCTGTGGACTTGCAGATAGTGGTAATGTGATGATTTGAGGATGTGACTCCCAAACCAGTAAACAACAGGTAGTCTGACCTGACAGGAGACTACCTGTATACTACCTCTTAGTGACGCATTACAAATTAACCTGGATAGCTTTTCTGTTGACACAGCCAGAGCAAACAACATGCAGTTCATCGTCACTTTATGCTTTTACATCTTCAGGGGTAGGACAGGCAACACCTGACCTGACATAAGGCTTCTCTGCAGAATATCAAAATATTTTGACAATATGTTTAATACAGTTGTACACTTAAAACCAGCTAAATTGTTTTTACACCAAATTAGCACTTCAGCATCATGCCCGCAAGAACTCCACAACAGTCTTAATCCAATGCCATGAGCCCTGAGTCAGGTTAATGTATTGTTCATGCAGACTGAGAATCAAGGAGCCCAGTGGCTTCTGGCAAAATACAGACTGTGTGAGGATCAGAAAGGTTTTTTAGGTTAGCACACTGGGCTGGACAACAAACATGCTTCCAGTGCCCAAACTAGATCACTGTGACATGAATGGATGAGATAGCTGCATAAAAGTTACATTTTTCTTCCTGTTGTGCACTATGATCTTACTATTACATCATTCTCAGTCCTTAAATAATAGCTAGATGACCATCAAAACTGACTCAGCTTTAGCTCTTTTTATTTTTCTTCTCAAAAGACATCATGTAATGTGTCACCTTAATAACAGATTTTGCTTCTGTTGTAAGTAACAAGTAGCATGGTATGGTTGTCCCCGTGAATCTCTACTCTTTTAAAAATAAACAGAATTGTTTAATTTACCTTGATAACCATTGTTATCGACATCAATTCCACTAGCTATGGATTGTCCAAACATGCTTAAAGAATTGCTGAGTTGATGTCCTTGAATTCTCTGAAGAGGAAAAAAACAGAAGGGAAAATTATTCTTAGAAAGCTAATCTGACTTACAATTCCCCATGAAAAATGTTAGCACAACCATGCTGCTGCTGAAGGCAGTTACATGCTCACCTGTGAAAGTATACCTCTGAAAGTAATATTCCTCAATTACTGCAAATGCTATATCCCATAAACACTGTCTAAGGCTGCCAAAACAATTTATTTTTCTGTAATAGGTTAATTCTGAAGTCTCTTAAAGTACCTCAGATGGTCCGAGTCTTAAATGGAGAATCCTCTTGAAATTGAAGGTTTTTCTGGATTGATTATTTTTAATTGAAAAATTGTACCTGTGAAAATGATGGCGTTATTCCATCTTCCCTGCCATTGTATATATAAATAACCCCTTTTAGGTCATCTTCTTGTGGAGCCCCAATTGCTACATCTGTGAAAAACCAGATGGATTAAACAATTATCAGTTAACAATTAAAACAGTTAACAGAAATTAAACAATTATCAGTTGGCTAGTCAAAAGTATCATTCTTTAAAAAAAATCTAAACAAGAACACCCCTCCCTCCCCCAAAAAACTTCACCACAACAAAACCCCACCTTGTTTGTATTCATAGAATTACAATGACTTTTCTGCATCTACTATTCCCACATGGATTAAATCACTGAAACACACAAAAACACTCTTATAACTCTGCCTGAAATGAACCATTTATTTTAATATGAAGTATCCTTAACAGATGATAACAGGCTTGAACAGGCATTTAATAAGGAAGTTAAGGTAGCTGGTTTGTTCAAAGGGATATGTTTTATGTCTAACAAAATCTTTTTTCTTACTGCCACTCTCGATATTTGCTTCACTTCCCCCTAACCCCAATGCTTTTGCTCCCTTAAAAAGCTAATCCACTTGTTTGCGCCACCTCCCCCTGCAGTTTCAGGATGTCAATTTTACATTATATTCTCTGTCATACATCCACTTTGCTTTGCTCTATTAATTTGATTTTACTTCTCTGTTCCCCAGCCCTACCTTTGGATACAGTTTTCCTTTACAGTTTGCAAATGTTCTGGGGCAAAAACTGAAACTTGTGCCTAAAACTATGAAGGTAATGCAAAACAGGATAAACTACATTTAACAAGAATTTAAGGAACAGGTACCAAAGGAGGTAAGGAAAAAAAAGACTATTTTAAGGATAAGGAGACCAGATAAGAAGAGAATGACTACACCATGCTTTGCAGGTTACAGACCAGAACCAAGAACAAAGACAAATGGATGAGAGAAAGGAAAACCCTGGATCATAACTGCAATTAAAAAGGCTAATTCGTAAGTGTGACGATAAGGACTTGATAAAGATACAGCTGACAGTTTTTGCACAAAGGATATTAGCTCCCTGCCTACAGTCCAAGTTTTGATGATGGAAAAACTGAAACCACTTATGAACTTTTGAACAGTAGAAAATGCCTGTCACATTTTTATCCTGTCCCCACACCACCTATTGTGCCTGCCCTTCTGCTGCAGGGGAGCACATGCCAGCTTTTCAGGCAGGAATTTTCACCATTCCTTTTTGTCTTAAATCATGACAAGATGAATGAAGCCACTGGGCCAGGTCTCCTCTGCTTTTTTCAATCTAGGTGGAGGCCTCCAGTCAGCTGTGTTTTGCAGGCTACTTAAACAGCTAGTGAATGGTTTTGGAAGAAAAGAAGCTGAGAGCAGTAGACCATGGGGCTTTCTGTAGCAAATACTTTTTAGGCAGCTTGACTGGAAGCAGAAGGGAAAATCAAGGCCATGAGAGTCATTCTAGATGCTGTCACCCATGTTACATCCTTTCATCTGTTTCCTAGAACTAAAATATCTTTTATCCGCAACTTTCACATGGCATTCTCTTTCAAAGCCTATTAGTTTTATGCTTATCACAGAAGTTAGACACAAGTCTGGAGACTGAATGTCTCTGTCCTTTGAGCAGGTTCCACCTGAACAGTATCAATAGAAATGTCAGGACATATCATACTTAGAGAAGGTGTTTCACCCTGAGTGGTGGGGAAGGAAGGGAGGATATTCTGCTTCTGTTAAGGCATCTAACTTTATGTGCCTGAAACAGATCCTCCTGTATAGACAACAGGAACAAAAAGCTCCCTCAGAGCCCCAGTAACATTTTGAATTTGCCACTGGGGGATGGCCACGGAAGTCCTTCCCTGTGTTCTCTGTCCACTGGAAGCCCTTGCTAGGCAATTCATGGGTTATCTGAGGGCCTGGCTGAGTAGTCCCAGAACAGACTTCCAACTTGCAGGCTGTTTTCTATACCCCCATGTATTTAGTACTTCCTATTGGTGACACAGAAGCAGAGCTTGACTCGGTGTGTAATTTTTATCTATGATGTTACAAAAATCACCAAATTGTTCCCCAATCATTGTCTCAGATCTCTAAAACAGGATGAGGGATTCCACTAGAGGTCCAGCACCTGAAGTTACAGACTATGTTATCACCTTGTGGTCATGCTCTTTATTAAAGCAACAGAACCTAATCTCTTGGTATTACACATCAATGACTGTGGAACAGCTCTATTTCAAAACAGTGGCCTAGAAAAGAAAGGTCAAGTCATCAACTGAAAGTCTTCTGACACTTCCATAATTGTCCTGTTTACTGTGACAGTCCACTGCTCAGAATTAAACCCAAGGGGTTTTCTTTATATACTTACCTTCAAAGCCATCATTATCGATGTCTCCTAGATTGGCTATAGACTCTCCAAACCTGGCTGCATATGAGTCACTCCCACTGAGCTCTATGTTCAGTTCTACCATCTTTGCCTCCTGAAGGAAACAGAGTCAATGGCACATTAACAGAGCATCTTCCAAATGTCCTGGAATGTTATTCAAGATGTTGAAACTGGCTTGGATGCCAATATAAAATCCTACTGAACTCCTTGGTGCAGAAGCAAGCATTACCAAAGGTATTTAGTGTCAGAATAAGAAAAAAAGAAAGTTGTTTTTTAATAAGGAGAACAGCAATGTGTTCCCATAGAGAACACCTGTAAACAGCAGCAAGCTTATATCAGAATACAGGGGATTACTGCTCTGAGAAAATTGCTAAAAATGTAGTAAAGAGTAGCTTCTTCAGAGCTACTATGTGTGCCTTAGATGTAGGTATCCTGGAGTGACTTAGATCTCTCTGCGGAAAACATGTTAAGAAAATGTTAATTGCAAGTATAAGAGAATAAATATGTATTAGTGACAGAGGAAAGAAGGGAAATAAGATAAAATTTACAAAGCCAGACAAATTCAGAACGCACAAAAGATGGTGTTTATACTTTTACTTCTGATCCTTAAAAAGAATAAAAGGAAGCTATTTCTAATGCATGATCTGTGAAGCTAATTTATTTGACAAACTGACGACTACCAGTCTCTTTCCTGACTGGTACCATGAACTGCAGGCAAATTTTTCATTCCTTTTTTGTTTCTGAAGTGCTAAATAAGTTGCTCTTACATGCCAGTTCAGTGGTAAGCATGGTAATAGCAGAGAGCTTGCAAAGAGGCTGTAGTGGCAGGCTGTCACCACCTGTAGATACTGTGAAACAAAAGTAGTCTGACCTTAGTTCTAACAGTAGCATAAAAGCATCACAGTTATTACAGCCAACCTTCTGCAGGTATGCTACACAGTCCTGCTGGGATTGCCATCACAGTTCTAAGTTGTTTTTCCTATATTCTGAAATATTGCTTGCTGAGAGAGGAAATCTCTTCCTCTTAGCTTGTTATATTAGAATCACTATTACCATGTGTTTTAAGAGAAAATACTTACAGAACCGGAATTGATATAGACATAAACTCTTCCCTCTTCTCTGATGGTACTTTGCATTGGAGCACCGACCAGCAAGTCTGACAGACCATCTGAATTCAGGTCCACAGCACAAACTGAAGCTCCAAAGTAAGAACCTAGCTGTGTGCAAACAGGAAATCACGTTGGTTTTGAATTTCCATGCAGACATGCTAGAAGTTCTAAGGCACAGAAAAGTAGTATGAAAGATTTACCTTTTTACCCCTCAGTTCAAACAGAATATTTAGGTCCTCCTCAATGCTAAAAATATATGCCTAAAATGAAAAGAAAACGTAAGTGGAGTCCAATAAACAATAACCTGAAATATTTCCCTGTGCTTGCTCTACAGCACATGCTAGACAATCAGCAGTATCACAAGGTACAGCTATTTAATGTTTCCTATCTGTACCTTTGTTTAACACCACACACCAATGTTATCTAGACTATCATCCCTCATTCCTTCTTTGACTTTTCTCCCTGTGAAAAATCATATTTGATACTTGTCTTTAATATATTTATCTAAATTGGAAAATCATGGGTGGGTACATGGGGGTATATTCTTCAAATCAATAGTATAGACAATCTCTTACTTTACCAGTCTGTTCCTGTTGGGGAGCCCCTCCAATTACTTCTGTACTGGTTGATGTCAGAAAATGTCCAGCCCCAACAGAGTATCCTGTAAATTAGAAATGCACTATTAAATACTGGAAATAAAATGGGAGCATGACGTACAAAAGCTGTCAACATTACAAATTATTTTGAGTCTGCCATTCAGAGCTCATGCAAGTTGGTAGTGAAACAGAAAAGAAAGTTCTTGAAATATAAGCAAAAGGTCAATAAAACCAGTCAAGAAAACCAAAAGTTCCAGCAAGCAGAAACAAGTGACAGAAAAACTCTTTTCTTTCCCAGAATCTCAATTACCTGCCACTCTTTAAAAGCCAATAAAATATATTTCAAGCACCTTCTGTTAAGGCATATTCTGCAATTGTTCAGTGAGTCAATACTTTAATACAAATAAAATCATCAAAAGCCCAGACAAAGCTATATGGAAATACTTGATTGAGCTGTTACTCTCTGACTATTGGTGTAAGTGGACTGCAGAAAAATGTAGTGTTACTTATATGTATGTGCACATACGTGCACATGCACACATACACAGAGCACTGTGGATATACACATATGACAGTGTCAGGAACAAACTGGAGCACTCGCTTGATTATGTGATAAGAAAACATTGCATCAGCTTTTGTAAATGTATCCACATAATAGAAGTATTGCAACATGTGTAGGCAGCTCTGCACAAACAGGACCACATTTCGGTACAGGTGTCCGGCCACAGGACTGCAAACTGATCTGTGCAATCCTGCACAGTGATCTCTGCCTACACAAGTCATCCTTACTCCTTCCAGAATACATTATGGCTAAGTTGAAACAGGGGAGACAGTTGATATATTCTGCTACACTTGCATTTACTGAGTGAATGTTGATTCTCACAGTATGCAGTGAAAATGGAAAAATCATCTTGGATCAGATGAGAACAAGCCTTAAATCTTCCACCTGTGAAGATGACTGTCTAGAATTCAAGTTCTCATTAAGCCAGCTTTTTCTCTTCATATTTTAAGCCAAAAGAGATGAACAAGGCCATTTACAATTTAAAGGTCAACACCTAGTTCCTAAAGCTTAGCTGGATGAACCTTAATTTATCTCCTCTGACGTTCATTTTCGAGATATTTAGGTTTTGCTGAAATGTAAACATTGTTAATTATAATAAACCAAAACCAAGCAAACAAAACCCAAAAAGCCAAACATACCAAAAAGTAGTACAATAATCAGACAGTTCTAATTTTTATTGTGGTATTAGAATGTTTGGTGGGGTGGATGGAAACACATAATTGACCTCTTAAATTTAAAAGAATAGTCAAACAAAATTTTATTTCCAATCCCAGAATTCTCTCCCCTTTACCACTACTATAGTTTTTCAGTTTTCTGAAATGTTATTTGCCATTCTCAGATTCCTAAAAGTCTATCTATCTCTGTGATTTCTTTAAGGCAGTCTGTTGAGTGCCTCTTCCATCAGGCCCAGCGGATTTGAAAGACTGACTTACTTAGTTACTTAGATAAGGCCTTCTAAAGAAGTCAGTTTTTAATCTCCAAGATACTCTGAAATAGCCAAGTAAATACCTCCAAAACTTATGCATTACCAGATCTCTTTCTAAGTTTCCCTCTTCTTTTGTCTGGTACTTAAAAATCTTTGTTTCTTCCAACTTATGCAAAATGATGCTTTTCCACACACTTCCTAGAGATCTCTATTCATTAATTATTACTCTTTGTTTAATGAAGAATGTAAGTAAAGAAACCAACTTCTTAATCCCTGCCAGAAGAAGGGCAGCATAAGTAGGTAATTGTATCTAGTCATGTGCTTGAATTACACTATGGTCACAAGATGCTTCCACCACTTGGTAAGCTGGTAAGGATATTTTTGTTCATTAATTAAGAGAGAAATAAACTTGGACTAAAAAAACAAAAAACAAACAACAAACAAACTTTGTTAACAGAATTAACCCTCAACAGATTTTGGCTTTAAACAATGCCAAAGATGGGGCAGAACAGTAGCCTTTACATTCTTTCAACCACATTTTTCATTATTAGGAGAGAACAAAGTGGAGATTTAAGTAGTATGGAACAACACAACATTTAAGGTTTATCGCAGCTGCTACTGCAGAGACACACAGATATGTCTGCAGTAATGGTCTGTAATGATCCCTTTCTTCACTTTTTTGTAAAAAAGGCAAGCTCAGAGGACACATAGCTGCCAAGCCTGGTGCAGTTGCACCAGGTCACTGCGGAAGGATTTCTGAAGCAAACGCCAGCTCATCTCAGGTCCTGGATAGCCAAGGGAACCAGGAGCAGCCAGACACGTGCAGAAAGGCCTTCCATGCACCCTCCCCAGCACCAGTCCTTATGCAAGCTTTTATCCATTTGCCTGTACCTGACTTTTGGTTATGAATGATTTGACTCATTCATTTCAGAAATTCTCACTGTTATACCTGTAGGAGTAGAAATCTGGAATGACCTTTCCCCTCCCGCCCCGGTACAGGTGCAGTATTTTTTCTGTTAATTGTTACTGTAAAGTTGGAGCAAGCATTCTCTCAAGTTTTTTGTTTGTCCTATGAAAGGTTAGAAATGTTACTGGTTAACTGTAGTGACCTGGGTATTTGATCACCTTTTACCATCCAAAATCTTTTTTGCTTAACTTTCCCACAGAGCCTTTGCAAGGCTCAGTACTGAATTCTGAAGTTGGTCACTTTGTATCTCATAAGGTGAGCCTGTTTCCTATTATCGAAAGAGTGAAATCAGAAACAGGAAATACTTATCCACATGAACCAGATCTATGAACGGGAAAATGCAAAAAGCAATGGTCACAGGCAACAATATCCTTGCTCAGGAGTTCGCAAAGGACAGACAAGCTTTTCTTAGTATGTAGTGAGAAAACTGAAGCTGATGATGGCTCTTGGTCTAAAACCCTACAAATTCTAGCACTAAATTCAGATAATTACTTGGAAATGGATACATGAGTAGGAGCATCATGACTTTCTTCAGAGGCATTCATAGATAAGGTTTGTGTTCCATATGAATCCAGACCAAGTGCAAACCATTACTAATCAGAAGCCTCTTTCTCGCCTCTAAATCAAGAAACCATAGAAACTCGCTAGAGAGATGACAAAACCAGAAATCAAATGTTTGAACCATTTTCGTGTAAAAAGAATAAGGAGGAAGCCTCATAATGAAAAAGTATTTAACAAAATCAGAACACATCTTTAGAACTGTTGCTTCTGGGATTAATAAAGCACTGATAAAAACTGTGCACTCAGTTGAAGATCAACTACTTAACTAATTATTTGGCCCGTATTTTGTAAAGTATTAAATATTTTTAAGTACCTAGATAGCTGCCAAATTTCACTTGGTTATTTGAATCTGTATAACCATGGATTTTATTTGCAGTTGTGTTGTATATAAAAACAGAACCAGTCCAATAAAATGATCCAGGGGCTCCCATTATAATTAAGTCCTAAAAGAAAAATAAAACAAAGCCATGTTATTCATATTTAAATATTAATGAAAATAAGCAAAGCAAGTCAAATGCTTGTCTTTAGACCTCATGTGAATTCAATAAAATACTACTGGAGATGCATCTGGCTCAGTACGGGGGGATTACCTCTGGATAACAGATGACATTTCTCAGACTTTCTAAACATACAGTTATCAAAAATCTCAAGGTGTGAACAACTTAGAAGAGAGCAACAAAGAGGGTATTTGCTTCTCAAAAGCTTTTTAGAAATCAGTATCTTAGAGTGAAATGAAGATTAAGTAACACATAGTATTATTCTGTCAAGCAAGAAGGTATGCATTATTAGTGTTAATGTTACATCAAACAGATTAAAAAGAATAGTAAAACTTCATAATCTTATATTCATGCTCTTTTTCCAGACGAAAAGCAACTTTGCATTTAGTAATGTATAAAAGTATTCTTGGGAATAAAAACTATTAGTTTTGCAATGATCATGAAAGTCTTACCAAGATTCAATTGAAGAGAGATGAGAGAAGTCCATTTTTTCCCTCCCACAATAAAAGACAGTGTTAATTCTTGCATTTACATATACTCTTTTAGGTATGTGTACGTACAGTAAGTGTGTATCTATCTAGAAAGAAGTTTGGTATTTTTAATACACACCTCAATGTAAAAACTAGACATTCCAGCCTGGCACGACCCATGGTCTTCTCCCAACTTTCGCACATGATCTGAGAATGCCAAGAAATATTAAAAAAAGATGAGAAGCATGTAGTTTATGAATTTGTTACTAGCTCTTCAACAGAAGTTTAGACAAGTTAAGAAACAATGACAACATTTTTGGTTCTGTAATAAAACTAGAAACACTGGTCTCCTCTACAGCTTCAATATAGTACTGTAACAAAATCAAAGCACTATGTATTACTTGATCACAGCTGCCTTTGAAATCTTGTGAGTATAAAAGCTATACTTTTCTTTTTTAAATTGTTCCATGAATGAAATAGCACAAATAGTTTGAATAGCACAGTTAGATAAGCTTAGCTCTTCTCTTCCACTCTGTATAATTTAGGCATAATCAGACTGCGCTTGTGTTATGGCTATCTTAGACATACTGGTATCGATCATCCTTAGCAATTGTCTTTACATGCAACTCTCCCAGCTCTCTTTCCCTGCTTTTCTTTGATAACTGTCCACCATCAGGATTCCCTTCATGTCATCAATAGATTTGTTCACTTAAAAAGTCAAAGATAAAAGCATGATTTCATGCTTTCAATGTTCGTAACAGTCTCTGAAGCCAGCAGAAGGACATCTGATGGCATTATTCTATCAGACTGCATAGAAAGGCCAGATGATCAGCTCTTCCTTGCATTGACAAGGGGCAGGCTCATGAGATTGTTCTTCTGGATGTGAGGTAGGCATGAAAGGAAAGGCAAGGATGACTCATTCAATAGCTTCATGTCTTGACTCTTATTCTACTCCTGAAATCCTCTGAGGAAGGACCACTGAAGGTCTTGTGCCACAGCAGTGGCCTTGGCTGGAGGCAAGTAAGGAACAGGGACACACAGTATTGAGGAACCACAGCAGCTTTGTACCAAAGGCTAAGGAGCAGGCAGCAGCAATCACTTGCAGGTATTACTGATGTGAGGCACTCTCCTGAGCAGAGTAAGAAAATGACAGAGTACAGAAAAGAAGGATGTCCACTACTGGCCTATTCTTCAGGACCACACATCCTCCAGTGACCCAGTCCAAGGAACAAATATTCTGATGCCCTATTGAAACTATATTTTTTTTAACCTGTTGAAAGAAGCTTTTATTTGAAGCGATAAACATCTTGCTGACAAATTTACATCATAAATTGGGCTCTTATCATTAGCACTCAACCTTCAAACCTTTGGCTGCAGAAAGCCTGCTCACAGCAACAAAGGCTTTTCACAAACTCTGCACCGTATACTTATCTTGCCCTTCCCTACAAAGGACCCAAGCAGTCTGCTTACCTTTATAACATGGGCATATTCTTCTGCTCAGTTCAGTTCGAAAATCAGAAGGGACAGCAAAACAAATACCATATGGGAGTTTGTGTTCATTTTTTATGTAAAAGATATTTTTCCATCTATGTCCACAAGCCTATGAATAAAAACCAAACATGATTTTTGACACAGAAGCTCAAGAAAGGTGAAGGCAGTCTGACAAACAGACATGCAGCTCCAGCGGTTAATACATACAACGATAGATCCATTTTCTTTTGGCTGCCTTGATAAACTGACATCGCTCTTCCAAACAAGTCTTCCCACAGTACTCTCCATTGGGGTTGCCTAGGACACAAAGACCAATGCTTTGAGCAGGGGTACAAACTGAAGGGCCACATAGTGGGTAACAGGAGCACCCAAGAACTCTATGGGGAGACTACAGTAACTGGTGGATCTGACTTCTGTCTTAAATAGGCCATGTAGACTTTTCACTTTCTTCTTGAACAAAGGTACAATCGCACATAGCCAAAGGGAGCATACTGGTTCTGAACATAAGCTGGCAGTGAGGCTTGGCTTCTCTATCATTATTAAAATAAAGATAGAAAGTTAATTTACATCAATCTGATGAAGTTAATTTAAATCAATCTGGCTTTGCAAGTGTTCATCAGCCTAAAAGTTCCTAAGAAAAACAAGTAGCACCTGTGAGTGCTACCTGAACTCTAGCCTAAAGCAAGCGTCTTTCCAAGTATGGATCTATTGGCTGCAGACCTTAAAATTCTCTCTACTGCAAATGGCTATCAAATAAAGGGTGTAAAACTGCAATCTACTGCAGATGTCAGATCATTACATATGCATGTCCTGTGTACTCCTTGCACTGTTGCAATTATTTATCTGTAGCTCTTTTTGTTCTTATGGAGAGTTAATTTTTAAAACTTCAGAGAACACAGTGATATTTCTTCTAACCCCCCCAACAGTATTGCCAAATTAGCAAATATCTGCTTCCTTCTAGAAAGCAGTAGTGGTAAGGAGAAGCTAAACATTTAAAAACATTCTAAGTTACATAAAGCAAGCTTTTCATTTGTAAGATGTCTGTATGAATAAGCACTAACCAAATCATTGAACCAGTATTTTCTATGCATCAGCACAACACAGTTCATGAAAAACATTTCTTATAAGGAAACATATGTCATTTGGAGAAACTCTTTTGCATAATTTTAAAGACTCTCTCAGATTCAATGCAGTTACTGGTGAATCCCAAACTTTTAAGGGGTTTAGTTACCAGAAGAGGATGCCAACGCAGACCCCAGAGTACCAATGTACTCTGAGGTACACTAAGGGAGAAAAAAAGAGAGGGAAAAAAAATTAAATCACTCCCCCTAAAACTGCACTCACAGCAGAGCTGAAATTTGTCACTGTCCAATGCACTAGAGAGTTTAAATACACTTTAGTGGACTTGCTGAATTCCTTTTACAGGACATACACTTGCACAATATCAATTAAGTATGGATATAGAATAGAGGGATACCAGATTAGTGGAATCAAGATAGTTCTTTATCACATTGTAAGAAAATATCAGGAGAAGCATTTGTATGATCTTTAAGGTCTGTTTCAACCCAAACCATTCTACGATTCTATGAATAAAACCCAATAACCATCCTTATTTCAGAGCTTATTCCCTACTGTTTTGTGACAGGCCTACCAGTTGACATTTACCTGAAGAAACTGCTGGAGCCTTGATTTCTCCTACTTACGTATTACCTCTCTACTTCTTTTTCCAAACATCATACTTTCTCCCTGCTCTGAAGGAGATGAGTAGCACAGTCCAGAACTCCTCAGCATACTGCAGAGAGGATAACACACCTTGCACACTACAACAGCACTCTACCTTCTTCCAAAAATAACAGGGTTAAGAGGCATGTGGCTTTCCTTCATGTCTTCTTTACTACTTCCTCCCCCATATGCTTTTCCCTAAGACATCAAGGAAATAGGGATGCAAAGTCCAAGTAAACAGGAACTGACCTTAGCACTCTCATATTCAATTGTCTTCAGGCCAAGAGATTTTATATTACTGTCATTTAATAATTCCTGTAGGTCACCTGAGGAATGGTAATTAACAACATGTGGGCTCTTACTTCAAGACAAGCATGAAAGAAAATGCATTACTGCAGGTTGACAGTTACTGTGGTTTAAGTGATAGGCTTCCAAATTCTCCTACTTAGCTAATGTCAACAACATGAACTTCCCCATACTGAACACATACCAATTTTAGACACGAGTTTGGAATTTAGTTTTGGAATTTAATTTTGGAGTTATGTCACATAGAAGTCCTCACTTCCTTAGTAAGACATGTCCATGGTTTGCATGAATTATAGAGCATGTTAATCTGATTGAAATCTCCTCAGAAGACAAAATTCCATTACACTCCCACATGTAAGAATTAATCCTCCTTGAAATCACAAAAAGGTCATTTGCTAATTCCCTTCTAGCAATGCTTTCCATCCTTTAATGGCAATAACTTTGGTTTATAGTGTATTTTTAGAAATACGCTAGAATTTAGAATTTATAGTGGATTTTTAGAAAATGGAAAAAAGTGGAGAAGACCAGTGTCAGAAATTTAAACCTCAAAAGGCTTTCTGAGACTTTCTATCAGGAAGTCAAACAAGACGAGATAATAATATGAGAGATAAGAGAAAGTATTGCTCATCTTAGCACTTCATATTCATGCCGTAACATGAAAAAACACCACCATTCCTTCATGATCATTGGACTGTATTCCCCTTTTACTTGGCTCCAGGAAACATTCTCGATTCAGGTTCACTTTGGCACTCTGTTGACCTGCTGTCTTATGTCTCCTCTCTTTCTCTGACTGGCAAGTATTCAACCACCTTGAAAATGATAGGCCTTTGTGTGCAAGAGAAGCATGAGCCTGACATCCTAGACATCATGATGAGCCCCTGTGCAGGGTATGACATTATAAAGGCTTTATCGAATGAGAAGAAAGAATACCATATTCCACACAAGCAACAGAGCAGCACTGCGTAAGCTCAAGAGGACACGGCAGCTTGGTTGCCTCAGGGAAAAGGAGGACATGCTGTCATGAAGTCACTGAGAGATAAGTAATTGGCCAGCCTGTGTACATTACACAGCTGGAAGATATAC